AACCTCATGAAGAGCATGCTCAAATTGAGTGAGTCTAGAGTCTGAAGAATCAATATATTTACAAACCTCACGCAATTTTTGAACACTACTATCAACTTCTTTTAAACCTCTTTGAACAATAATGTTCAAGACATGAGCTGAACATCGAATATGAAAAAATTTACCATTACAAGGAAGAGGAGAAGTCAACATTAAATCTTTCTTCAAAAGGTTAACCATAACATCCATGGATCGAGCATTATCAACAGTCATTGCAAAAGCTTTACCCTGAAGGTTCCACTCCCCAATAAGTTTTAACACAAATTTTTCTACCTCAACACCAGTATGAGGAGGACCACAATAACGAAAATTCAGAATTTTAGACCTAAGACACCAATCTTTATCAACATAATGTGCCGTTAAAGTGAGATAACCTCGATTAGTGCATGCTGTCCACAAGTCACAAGTGAAGCTAACTCTACCTTCAATTCCAGATAAAGATTGCAACAACAAAGACTTAAACTTATCATGCTCAGCAATACAATATTTCAAAATAGTGTTTCTACACACATGGTTCACGTTGGGATTCAGATTCGTAAAAACTTCCCTAAGGCCATGATGCTCCACAATACTTAAAGGATAAGAATGCAAAATTATAGCTCTAGCAAGCAATTGTAAATGACGAGTTTGATTAAACGGGAGCTCAACACCAATTTCATGATTTCCTGGATGGTGTGGATTTTTACCCATGCATGTCTTAGTATGAGCTTTACAAGTTGAAGTACCAGCCTTACCTGGTGTTTTATATTCATTACCGCAAACATTGCATCGAGCATATTTTATCGGCGCAAGACCAACCATCTTATCAAAAAAGGTGTAATACCTCCAAACATCTGATGTTCGTCCACGCTTACTACCACTAGTGGTATGTTGAGTAGAATCTTGATTCTGAATAGTAGAATCCTCATCAAAACCGATAAACTCTTGCTCCATTGCTGAAAAAACAGAAACACAACAGCCTAAATCCAAATATGCCCCAAGAAGACAAAGTACAACTGTTAAGTTAGCCAATAAGGCACTATTACTAAAATCAATTGGCAAGCAAATTACTTTCACATATACTGTAACTTAAAATAACTCTATTAATTAACCATTAATATTTAATACCATGCACCCAAAACTAAACCAGCTAATCTGAACCAAATTAGTGTTGACTATTTCACACTAAAATTTCCAACCAATCATACTATTTAGTAGTGATACACTACCAGATTTATAAATTACTAAAATTAGTAGTAGTTGCTTTATCTAATTTACTTCAATAAGTCAAAACAATGGATTAAAATGACAAGATTCTCTTTCTATTGGAAACAAACCAACTTGCATTAAACTATAATTAGCACACAAAAATTCTTTAGTGTTTATACCTGATCATAACATTAGAATGATATTTTAAACTGAAATAGTGTAATGATTTATTGGGTTCCCTACCATACAAAAATTCTAATGCTTTTATAACCACAAGATTTGTCTCCCACTGTCCCTTAGATATTCATAATAGAGGGTGATTAGTATATGCCATCCTGGTCTATAGTTCAGGAATTATATGAACAACAAAAAACAAAAACAAAACAATTAAGTGAAAATTACCTGGAGCTGTGACGGCTTGAAGGAGAAGAAGAATTGAAGATGGAGAACTGGAGATCGAACAAAAAAAACGACAATAGAGAACTCGAGATCGAAAATAAACCGAAATAAAAAAAAAAATTAACTGAAAAATTACCTTGAGCTGTGACGGCTTGAAGGAGAAGAAGAATTGAAGATGGAGAACTGGAAATCGAAAAAAAACTAATTACATTTGGAGAAATTGAGATCGAACAAAAAACCGAAATAAAAACAAAAAAAAATTAAGTGAAAATTACCTGGAGCTGTGACGGCTTGAAGGAGAAGAAGAATTGAAGATGGAGAACTGGAGATCGAACAAAAAAAACGACAATGGAGAACTCGAGATCGAAAAAAAAACCGAAATAAAAAAAAAAATTAACTGAAAATTACCTTGAGCTGTGACGGCTTGAAGGAGAGGAAGAATTGAAGATGGAGAACTGGAGAACTTCAGAGTGAGTAAGGATTCAGCGCTTGAGGATGAAGAAGAAGAACCGAAGAATCAGTGTTTGATGTGGAGCAAAACGGCGAATTGAAGATGATGAATGAAGAGGAGATGACCTAACCAGGCTAATTCAATTCACGTTTCACCACTGTTTTTTTTTTTTTTTTTTTTTCCTCTTTTGCAATATATTATTTAATTATTTAACAACCAAAATATCTAAATTCTAAATTTAAAATTTGTTTTTCCTTTTAGTTTTGGAGGGAAATTTCCCACCTTTCATATTTTGATGAAATTGTCAACCAAAAAAATGAAATCAATTTTCCACTTTGTAAAAATCAAAATTTTTAATTTTATTTTAATAACATTAAACGAAATTTTATACAATTAATTAATTACATGGCTTCAAAAAAAAACTAATTACATTTCTCGAATCCCGATAAAACGAAATATGCCTTCATAATATCAGCTTTTATAATTTTTTTTTAACACACACATTAAAATATTAAGTTCTTTAAATTATAAAATGTGAATCGGTTAGCGTGTAAATGTCTAGCGTTGCGATTAATAAAAAATCGAACACTGTTTAATAATATAATGACGTCATATATCTTAGAGAGTAAGAAGTACTACGGATTAGTTATATGGTTATTTTATATCAGTTTAGTTGTACCTATAAGCAAATACACTTGTAATCGTGTAAACTTATAAATTGTATAATTGACTAGTAGATTAGTACATAAATACAAATTACTTATTTAGATATGAGTTATGACTACATGAGTGATTGACTAATATGACTATATCAGCAATTGTCAATTTAGCATAGTTGCATAACAGATTAGCAGTGTACTAGACTATCCTACTAGGTAATATACTAATACCATTTCAGTATTTGATCTATTAGACTCAAGTTAAACGCTACTCTTTCTTATTAACTTGTTAGTCTAATTAAGTAATTACTAATTACTAATTAGTAATTAGTGACATAAGCCTTAGGGGTAAACCAATAAAGGATATAGAAAAATATAATAATCTTATGATTCTCATCCCTTTATACTAATAATATTTAACTATGAGAATATGAGATGGTTATATGTTATTTATATGTTAATATGTATAATCGGTTGAAAGAGTCAATATTACCTTCTTCTTCATTAATGTGTTATTTGATTATACAAATCAAACTACTTTGTAATATATAACTTTATGCAAATATATAATGATAAACAAGTCTTAATTATCAGTCTTGTTGACTAATTAAGTATCGAATACCAAATTGAAAATTTCGATGTCACAATTACTCATCAAATCATGATTATGACATTATTAATTAACTAAATGATCAAATAAGAAGCAGATAATAATCTGATAGTAAAACAATAATACATTAATGCACTAAACTTTTATAATCTACTTCCTAATAAACTAGTAAGATCAGTATGGCTAAACTAAATACATAACATGATATGTATTTATAAAATTAATGAGAATTTGCATATAATATGATGCCTCAATATGAAGTGATGAAGTCTCGACTTGATATAAAACTTGTTAACTAGCAAAAAGTTAGAAAGTAGTATAAAATTTCAAACCAAAACTGTTTGATTGCCCAAATCCAAACGACTCGATAAAAAACCGGTTTTTTGAATCAAAACCAGACTCGAACTGTAATTTAGTAAAGCTGAAATAAAACCTATCCAAGTAATGTTAAATCGTAGAAGAACCGAACCCGTTAACGAACCGAACCAGTTATAAACCGAACTAAAATGAAACTGAACCAAAAAAGAACCGAATCGTTTCTAAACCGAAACTGTTTGAACCGGGATAAAAACCGTTTACACCGAACCGTTAACAAACCGCAACCTGTCTGCACCGAACCGTTTACTACCCGGACTGTTTACAACCCGGACCGTTTACAACCCGAACCGAATTTAAACCGGGATAAAAACCGTTTACACCGAACCGTTATCAAACCGCAACCCGTCTGCACCGAACCGTTTACTACCCGGACCGTTTACAACCCGGACCGTTTACAACCCGAACCGAATTTAAACCGGGTTAAAAACCGTTTACACCGAACCGTTAACAAACCGCAACCCGTTTGCACCGAACCGTTTACTAACCGAACCGTTTAGAACCCGAACCGAATTTAAACCGTTCAAGAATAAACCGAAACCGAACCGAACCGATAATTATTTAAACCGAACCGAAACCGACCCGTAAGACATTTGAACCGATTTCAAACCGACCCGATTTCAAACCGAACCGATTTCAAACCGAACCAAAACCGAACTGTCAAACCGTTTTGACAGTGCTAATTATAAGTATATCATTAAATAGGCTTATGATTTTATCTATCAATTTATTATACGAGTAGATGTTTGATCATTTAACAAGAAATTAAAGCTATTTATATATACATACTTATGAAATACGAGTATAAAAATTATTGTGTTAGGATTTTCACCTTCATGAATTTATACAGTAACAATTTTGAAAAGATTATTTGTATTTGTAGTTCAATACTGCAATTTTTTTTTTTTTGGTAAAACCGTGCACCGCACGGGACTAATTTAATTATTATACTAGATTAGCTCCCATGCTATGCACATTTTTTCACTATTTGTTAGAGAATATCAATTCAAATTGTAATTAAATATAAAAAAATTTGGTCCATAATCTATTTCTTAATTTATCTATCCCAAATTAAGAAATTTAAAAACTACTCCCTCCGGCCCCGAATGATAGTCACTTTTGCCAATTTTAGTGACCCAAAATGTTAGTCACATTTCACAATTTCAGGTGCCAAACAACAACACAAAATGACAGATATACCCTCAATTTTTTGGCTGTATTATATGTGCTTCCGGAAATGCCCTTATATTTTCCTTTGTACTTGTGCCATAATTAAATGTATTGTCTCCCTTGATTTTTTCTACTCTGACTCACTTTGTAACATTCATTTCTCTCTCTTCACTTCTCTCTCTTCATTTCTGGATCTACATCTCTCTCTTTCTCTATCCTCTTCCATTGAAGAACGAATATTTTCATCTTTCTCTCTCTTCAATTTGTGCAATTTGGGGTTCAAAATCGCTGGAAAAATTGTGGATCGGTACTTTACTTGTTCAAGCGGATCAAACCCCTCAACTAATTTTGTGAATCCGCCCTTTTTAAAGGTGATAGGTATCGATTATGTTCTTCGCTTCCCTGTATCTGTTTTTTTTTTGTACTCTGTACAATTTTTTTTGAAATAATCAGACTATAATTGTTAAAAAAAAAAATCAGTTAGTGTGCTTCTTTGCCATGGATCTTGATTTTGTCCATTACTATGATTATTATGAGGCTTTGTTGATAAACGTTTGCTGAATTTGTAAAGTTTTGTTTTTTGCCCTAAATCATGATTCGTATGTGGTGTTGTTGATAAATGATTGCGATTTTGTGATTTTTTTTAATATAATTCATGATTATTACGGATTATTGTTGATCATGTAAGTACAAATTGCTTAGTTGATTTTAAGCCTAAATCACAGTTGTTATGTGGCCTTGTTGATGATGTATGATTCTGAACTTGATTAAGGGTTCAGTGTTCACTTGATTTAGGGTTCACTGTTCATTGCATGTATTGTTCACTGTTCAATGATTGAGGGCTTTCAATTATGAAACAATAATGTGGTTAGCCATTATATTTGTTGACATTGTTATAACATGAGTCATGTTGTTTGAATGTTTCATGGTTGAAACAAAAATAAAGGACCTATTGTTATAGCCTCTTGATCTCATGTATGACTGTCACAAGTGATTGCATATTCAATTAGGCTTGCTGGTTGGATGTTTGGCTTTCATGAGTGCTTACATATGCATTTAAATTTGCTGGTTGGATGTTTGGCTGTCATGAGTACTTGCTTATTCATTGATGCATGATTCAGTTGGATGCTTTTGCTTTTCAGGTTGCCTGTGTACATGAGTGAATCCCCTGGTTCAGAAGAATCACACTCTCATCAGTTGGATGCTCTCCTTCTAAGCTGGTTGTTAAAAAGGATTCTGATAATGAATCACACAGCTAAGTATCGGTATGCCTTGGCATTTTGTACAGTGTTTGTGTTTGGACAGATTATAACATGATGATTGGTTGTTTGATGAACATGACTACATGAGTACCTTTTTTGGATTTCAGTTGTTGGTTCTTATATTGATTATGTTGCTTTAATTTGGTAATGCCTATTATCATGTGTTCTTGGTTATGTTGCCTATTATCAAGTGTGTTTGGTTGTGTTGCCCTGTGTTTGGTTTTGTTGCCTATTTTCAAGTGTGGTTGTGTATGTTTTTGTTCTTCATGATGATGATGAATTGCCTTGTTGTTGTTGCAATTTGGGAATGATGATGGGTTGCCTTGTTGTTGGTGCCTTTGGGGTTTTGCTTAATATGTCTTGAGCATGTTCTGGTCTATGATGAAAGCTTTACGCATTTTAGAAGGCATTAGGGATCTTGGTCATTTAATGTAGACCATAAGGTACAATCTTCCTATTAGGAAATGTGCATGATATCCAGTTACATTTGGCTGCTCATTTTTCCTGTAATGATAAAAATATTAGACTCTGAGACCTCTTCCCTTAAATGACTTAGTATTCTTCTGCAAATTGGATTCTTGTTTAGCTTTTTAGATTATTGAACTGTTTACAAATATCCCATTTGGTAGAAGAATATTATGTTTACTTTTTGTGACTTGTTGAGGTCAGTGATGAGTGATGGGAGTATGATGTGGAAAGGTTTTTGTTTTTGCCATGTAACTTGATGTTGTGATTCATTTTCCTGTGTGGTTAGATGAGCTTGCTTATGTGTCAAGGTTATACCTTGTATTCCCCTGTATATGCCTTCAATGATATGCATTAAGTGGCCTGAGACCTTGTTTTTATTTACAATGATGAGTCTTTTTTGTTGAGATACCCAACCCTAAAACCCCTTACATTCTACTGTCCTTAGAGAATAAATCAGTATGTTCCTGATTTATTTCCTTTGCTGACTATGGAATGTTACTGGAAGTTGAGGTTGGATTGTCAGTGATGCTTGGGGACAATTTGAGTTTATTTAAAAAATAGTGCAATGACATTTTTAGAGCACTAAGTTTTGCAATAAAAAGTGCATGTTTCATTTCATAACATAGGGTGTGATTACATATTTTAAATGACCTAATGTCATAGGCAAAACATTTGCAAGAATACATGTCATAATTCTAAAGACTTAGGCCCCCATACATTAGTTTGCATTGACATTTGAGGTAGATGCCTCATGATCATTGGGCATAACAGGCCTATAAGGCTCTGTATTTGCTTGTGTGTTCTGTTCTTCATGTGCTTGTGTGTTCTCATTGTGATGCTCCAAAGTATCTTCTTCATCATCTGAATCTGGCTTGTCCATGTACACTCTCTCCCATGCATCAATCACAGCCCACATAGGAGCTTCTATGTCATCTTGTAGTTTGCCCTCTCTTTCCAACTTTTCTTTATTCACATGTGGTGGTTCAAACCTGTTAGAACCGTTGCTTATCATAATTTGGTTCATGGTGTGGCACAAAGTCACCCACACCTTGAACAACCTGTTAGGAGGTAGCTCAGCAAATGCATCCTCCACAGCCTTTATCAACTGATCTGGTGTTTTAGCCATTTTTTTGTGTTGAAGTGATTGGATGCTTCTGAAAAATCCCAAGTCCAGAACATTCATTTCTGGACTGTTTGGTGGCTGCTGAGTTAATATAAAAGTGAACCCTGGCTGTTCACAATGTTCTTGCCAAACATAATCATCTTGAGTAATATGAGCCTTTGCATTATCTTGCTGAATGTATATTGTGTTGTGTTGACCTGTTTGAGGCCATTTTTCCATACAACTATTTCACCAAATGCCACTGAGCACTTTAAAAATTCACCAAATGCCATCAGGCTTTTCAGAATTCACCAAATGTCACCGAGTTTATAAAAATTCACCGAGTGCCACTGGCGTTAGTCATTAAAGTTAATATGCCACGTGGCATATTCTAATTGGTTCATTTTAATTTTATTTTATTTATCAAAAAAAATTAAAAAAAAAAAAAACTAAACCCCAGCCACCACTCTTCCCACCGCCCCTACGCCAGCCCAACCCCTTGCCCCCACCCCCACCGACGACCAACATCCTCTTCGGTGTCGGCAGCCACCCTCCCCCCCCCCCCTAAACCACCATCCTCGACATCCTAAAACCCCAAAATTGAAATCGAAACCCTTAATTTCGATTTTAAGGTTTTCGATTTTGGGATTTAAGCGAGGTGGTTCAGGGGGTGGAAATGGGAGGGGGAGGGGCGGTTTAGGTTCGCCGGAGCGGGGATGGATTCTTGGACGCCAACAGTGGGGAGTGGCTTCAAATTTAGGGAAATCGATATTGGGGGTTTAAGTTTCGAAACCCTAGATTTTGATTTTTTTGGGATTTTGATTTAGGGTTCCGTTGGGCGATTGAAAGGGGTGGAGCTCGGAGGGGATGAACTGATTTGGGTTCTCCGGCGTGGGGAGGGGGCCGGGAGTTTGGTCGTTGGCGGTGGGGAGGGGAGGGATTGTCGAGGTAGAAAGAGAGTTTGTGAATCGCGGGAAGGGTGGATGGGTTGCGTCGTCGGTGCGGGTTGGCTAGGCTGGGTTGCGTCGTCGTCGGGTTGGCTAGGCTAGGTCGAAGGTGCGGTTGTTCAGGGATGGGTTGCACCGCGGTGGGGGCCGGCTAGAGGCGGGGATATGGTGGTTGGGGCTGGGTCATGGTGGGTGGGGGTTTTTTTTAAAGTTTTTTTATTAAGTATTTAATTTACTAATTCAATAAGCAACCAATCATAAACCACCACGTGGCATAATTAGTCTTAATGACTAACGGAGTTAACTGCCGTTACTCATTAATGGCACTCCGTGAATTTTTTATAGACTCGGTGGCATTTGGTGATTTCTAAAAAGTCCGATGCCATTTGGTGAATTTTTAAAGTGCTCAGTGGTATTTGGTGAAATAGCCGTTTAATATTATATTACAACTTTGATACTATATAATTTGTGTTTTTTGAAATAATAATAATAATAATAATAATAACAATAATAATAATAATAATAATAATAATAATAATAATAATAGTAATAGTTATAAGATTTAATATTTAGGTAGTTCATGCACAAATAGAGTATTTGTTATAGTCTTGTGTACTATTAATTTTGTGAACCTTATATTAATTAAGGTTATTTTAATTGTGTAGGAGGAGTCTCTCGATTATGGTCAAGTTTAGTGATCGTACCTTAATTATTCACGTGATCAAGGTACGTATAGGTGGCTAGGTCCTTGATACAACCTTTGAATGCGTGTTTTGGTAAATATTTATTTTAATAATTGTTTAGATAAATGTTGCGTATGAATATCTAAATTAATGATTTTTTTGATGAGTTAAAAATACATAATTTTATGATTTAACGGTTTGATCTTTAAAAGTGTTGATTGATTTAATAAAAGTTTTTAAATTTATATAAATTACTAATAATTTGCAGCTCATTATGAGCCTGAGTATTTGATATTTTAATTGTCCCTCTACTAAGAACTAGTTAAGTAAGACCATGAGTTTTGTATGATCCGATCTTTCCTCGAGTATAGTTTAACTTTCTTGGGGGGTGTGCACACTTAGGTGAGGAAAATTGGTTTGGATAATTCTTCCCATTCTTGAAGTTTTAGTAATGCACAAATTATTTATGGTTATAATCAGGACTTCTAAGTCCATTTTTTTTCCTTAATTCCGTAATTAATCATGTTTAAGGGAACCTATAGTATGATATCTTATTTGTGATGAAGTGACATCTCTCTTTATCCCAAAGAGTATTTTGTTAAAAATGTTGTAGGATCTAGATATGAATCATACATAAAATATTGATATTATGCACTACATATTGATGCTACAGGTAACTCAAACAACTATTATTTTACACACTTATATTTTCTGATACTTATATAATATGGTACTTTATAAATTCTTTTATGATTTCTTTAGTGTAAAAGGCAATCTCCTAGTTACGTCAGATCACCTCATCCATTTATCAAAATTATTATGGCAGTCCCTAACTTATATTGATATATAGTGTCTATCTTATATCTGTATATATTTTACACCTATTTGATTATCTCTGATGGCTCATGACTAATTTTTTAATATGCTACAGAGACCAAGTATGAAAATTTCCAACAATAGCAAGTCAGGAAACGTCTATGTGGAGTAGTGACATGTACTGTTTCGGATCTTATCTTCTCAGGGCCTCCTTTTAATGTCATCGTGAGAGCTGTGTTAATATATCAAGAGATTCAAGAGATCTTGTAGAAGATAAAAGATTTCTCCTTATGTTGTTGTCATACTATTTGCTCTAAACTATTGTCAGAATTATGTTTTAACACAATAAACATATAATTCTAAGTGATATTTATTTGTAATTTATTTTTCTAAGTACGACATTTTGTATGTACTATTAATTTTTAATGAAAATTCCCTTTATTATCATATTTTTATAAATTCATGTATATCTATATACGAAATACATTTTGCACTTTTTCCTCCTAAAAATCCAACCTTTATACCCCACCTTCTCCTATAGATCCATTTGACCTCTAACCTGTTAAACTGGTTAAAAAGTTTTTTTTATTTTTTTTTTATTTTTAATCCTTTCACTCCTCTTTCTCTCTCCTATCTCCTACAACCTGAAACAACAGAACCACCACGCACATCCGTCGCCACCACCACCTTTGCCACCACTTACCCCACCCTACCCAAAGCCAGAACCGAAACCCTTCTCCCACTCCTACTTCTGCTCGAAACCATAAGCCCAGGCTCAATTAAACCTTCGATTTGCTTTGATTGTGGGGCTGCCACCACCGATTTGCTTCGATTAAACCACATCAGCTATTAATTGTTGTTGTTGTTGGCGAGTTGATGTTGTTGGTGAAGAGAAATTGGTGGGCTGAAGTTTGTGGTTGTGTTGCTGGTGTCGTGTGGTGGCGAGCAAGGTGGATGTGGATTGGTGATTGGTGGGAACTTTGCAGCGTGAGGTTGGAGTTGGAGGGTGGTGCGGTTGTGATTGCGGGATTGCTAAAACGGAGATTGGAAATGGAGGTAGGGGCTGTGCGTTTGGAGTTTGGAAACGGAGATTGCGTTTGGAGTTGCGGGGTTGTGCGTTTGGAGATGCGGGGCTGGGCGTCTTGGAGTTGCGGGGCTGTGCGTTTGGAGTTCTGGGGCTGGGCGTTTTGGAGTTGCGGGGTTTGGGTTTGGACGGAGGCGGGGTTGGTGGCTGGGCGTGAGTGTTAGTGGCTGGGCGTGAGTGTTGGTGGCTGTGCTGGGTTCCGGTGGGCGGTGGGTTAGGGTGGTCAGGGAAGGGAGAGGGTGGAGCTGGTGTTCTAAATTTTTTTTTCTTCTTCTTTTAATTATTTTTGTTTTTTAATAATTAAAAAAATAATTAACCTATTAATAGCTGACACGTGGAATATGACTTACAAAAATCAGTCATTAACAGGTAATGGACCTATTGAAGAAGGAGGGGTATAAAGGTTGGATTTTTGAGGAATAATCAAAAGGTTGGATTTTTGTAAAGAAAAAGTTAAAAGGTTGGATTTTTCTTTTCCATTTTTCCTAAATAATAATAATAATAATAATAATAATAATAAAACTAATAAAAAAATTATATGAATTGTCGTTGCATTAGGTGTCAATTTGATCATAATTTTTAGTTAGTAATCTATTGCCACGGATTATTTATGTCGTTGTATTAGGTATTGAGCTAACGCAACAGACCATAGATGACATGGCATTAGGTGTCAAGTACCGTTGCATTAGACCTATTGCAACGCCAGCAGATGCCACGGTACATAGCCGTTGCATTAGGCCTAATGCCACGGATTTTGACGTCTAATGCGACGGATTTGGGGGTTGCAATAGGTCAAAAATGTAGTAACCATCGAATCCTAAGTGGAGCAGCAAGGGACACCATGTCTTCGCTTGGAATTAAAAAATTCATCCCAAAAGTAACAAGGTTCTCACTGCAACAATAAAAAATAAGATAAGCATTAAAAAAAATAAAGGAAAAAAACATATAAAAATATAATTATCATAAAAAATGACACTTAACTTCCTCATCATTGAATCATCCTTCAGTAAACAATAATCAAGAATTTCCAAATGTAACTTAGGCAAATTCTTGTAAATCCGAGCATTAGCCCTCAAAAACAGTGTCACAAAAGGCACATCCACACCTACTGGCCCACAGTCCAGTGAGCATAAAGATTTATTGCCTCTGATGATACTTCCAGAAACATTTTCTACAGAAAGCCCAGCAACTTCTTTGTTATTATTCATCGGAACACCTTCATCAACACTTTTTCCATTACCATTGACATCATCCTCAGACTTATTCAAATTCAAAGCTTGTGCAGGTTCATCTCCAGGAACATTATTTTTATGACCTTGTTCAGGTTCATAAAAACCACGAAACAATTCATGGACAAACTTCATCTTATTACACTCCTCAATTAAACCATCTAAAAGCTTCATGTAATGAGGATTAGAGAGTAGTTGTTGCAGTTTGAGAAATTGAACAACATCATCAGAGGATAATGAAACGATTCTGCGAGAAGAAATCATCTCAAGGCTTGAAAACCCTGTGATTGAACCAACAATAATACATCCATATTTCTTTTAACCAAAATAAATGTTTCATGAACAACCTGTAAACATATGAACTAATAAGAAACTATACAAATGTAACAAATAAAAATAAAAAATAAGTGAAAATTCAGGATATCGCATAAAGTTACCCTTTTAAATACATAAAGTTACCCTTTATTATGCATATAGTGACCATTTTAAATGCATAAAGTAACCCTTATAACTGAATATTTAGGGTTACTTTAGTGCACATAAAGGGCAACTTTAGTGCACATTAATAACTAAATGTTAAAAAAAAAACACTTACATCAGTTGAAATTTCTTTAATTTCATCATCAGTCGTCATCACATTTTCCGGAAGCTCAAATGCAAGAATGCGGCTAGTTCTACCACTTGTAGAAGCCCCCTGACCATATCCCAAACCACAAGTTTTCTTAACAACAGGATCCCTAATTTCAGGCTGTGACACAGGATATGTGAGGGTATCCAATGGTCCCTGCCCAAAATCACCAGCTTTGATCTCCAAATTGATCCGCTTCTTAATCTTCGCATCAGTCCAATGTTGAATCAAAGGAAGGGTACTACTTTCCTTTTCTCCTTGAAAATTTAATCAATGAAAATACATAATTTGCAAAGCTATAGCAAACAACCACTTACATTTTGAGCATTTTCATCATTCTTATACTTCAGAACAACCTTCTTTAACTTATTCAAAACATATGAACACCATTCAAATGTTTTGATTTCATCAACTTCTTCAACGGCCTTCAACAACTTCAATGAAACAGTCCTATTAGTAGTAGGAGCTAAGAAGCTAGACATAGCATGAAGCACAAAACACCTCTTAAATTCTTCCCCACCATTAACCAAATCAACCATCCTAGACTCCAATTTTGACAAATGTAGAGGTTGCTTCTCAATAAGACCATAATCAGATCTCCATGCCTAAATGATACGTTTATCTACACTACCTTCTTCATGATTTTTCTGAAGTTCAGGAACAACAATCTCACTCATAGGCAAGCCAAAGACATCGCATATATCATTTTTAGTAACTACAAACTCTTTACCAGCAGCAATAGTAAACATGCAGCTACCACCATTAAAGTGTTCAATAAGCCAATGTACCATTTGACAATTCAAAGTTTTCAATTTCAAATGTAATAAACCACCAAAACCAATTTTTTCAACAGCTTTATTTTGGTTAGGACTAAAAGTACTCAACATAAATTCCAATGTGTGTGGTTAAAAAATGCAAACAAAAAAACATGTATACTTACACAACAGTATTAGAAACCACTTGCAATTCAGAATCAACTACCGTTTTAGCCTTCTTAGATAAAATTTTAGACTTCTTAGGAGTTGCTTTAACCTTCTGAGACTCTGCTTTGGCCTTCTTAGGAACAGTTTTAGCCTTCACAGTTTTAGACTCTGGTTTGTCCTTCTCAGGAACTGTCTTGCTCTTTTTAGGTACTGTTTTTCCCTTAGCAGGCTCTTTATCCATTGCTTTTCCCCTTGAAGGCGATTTATAACGATTTCCACCTATTGAACCACCTACCTAATTAATACAGAGAAATAACCATAAATTACAAATTCACAAATTACTCATGGAAAAATTCAGAATATATGCATAATAACCCTTTTAAATGCAAAAAGTGACCCTTTTAACTGCATAAAGTCACCTTTAAACTACAACAAGTAACCCTTTTAACCGAAAAAGTAACCCTTTAACCAGCATAAAGTGACCCTTTTAAATATATAAAGTAACCCTTTTAACTGCATAAAGTCGCCTTTAAACTACAACAAGTAACCCTTTTAAATGAAAAAGTGACCCTTTTAACAGCATAAAGTGACCCTTTTAACAGCATAAAATAACCTTTGTCATGCATATAAATGACACATATATCTATTACTCACACACAATGCACAATGCACATATTAGTGTTACTCAAACACATATACACAAACACAATGCAGATATGCATACTATTCTCATAATCTAACTAAAACCTAAACAAATAATCAGTTTAATTAACATTCTTTGACTAAAACCTAACATACAAAATTTGAAGAATAATAAGCAATGAATAAAACTTCTGAAAACAAACATGCAAAATTTGTTTCACATATAACAACACCACAACACATGTATAACAAATTTTGAACCAATTATACACAATGAACAATAAAATAAAGCAAAATTAAACATAATAACTTCAAAATTAAAATTCAATTATCATAATATGCATAAAAAATCAACAGAAAACTATAAAAATAACATGCACTACTAATTCGACATATATAAGCGAAAATTCAATTGAAAATTTGAAAAAATGATGAAAAATTTAAATATACACACCTTCTTCAGCATCTACAGCCTTCTTTGTAATCTTCTTCTTCACCATTGCAGAATCAAACACTACGAAAATCGAAAACAAAATAAAAAAACCTAAAAATCGAAGAACCAAAACAATTTAAACTAACAAAAATCTAAAAAAAATAAGTAAACGAACTTGAATTTAGCAAATAACAACTTCACAAGTGAAGGAGAAGAGAGAAAAAGCTCAAAAATCAACAATGGAGGAGAGAGAACACGCTCGAAATTGCCAGTTAATTGCTTTTTAGAGAGAGAAAAACGAGGAGAGAGAAAGCTAGTGGTGAATGAATGAAGAGAGAAAATCGAGGAGAGAGAAAGTTCTATTTGTTCTTTATTTTGGCAATCATTATGACGCACGTGCCACCCTACTTAATTGGCAGTTGTTGGTTGTCCAAATTTTCCGCCATTCACTAATTTAATGAACACCGGCTTTTTTTAAAAATTTGTGATTTTTAATTACAACATGACATGCGTTCAATTTTAACATAGTGTCAATCGTTCGTACTTTAATAGTTTAACTAGATTAGGGCCCGTGCCATGCACGGTAATTTCACTTCCTTTAATTAAAATAATATTTTTGTAACAAAAATATCATGAAAAAAATACAATTATAATATACAAGTATTTATTAACACGACTCAACCTGACTAAGAAAAAAAACCTGATAAATTATGGAAATTTTGATAATTTTATAGAGTGAGGCTAATATTTTTCATATAGCACGACACCATGACAAGAAATGGACACGAAAAAAGTGGTTTTGTGTCGAGGGTTTTTGACTTGTTAATGAAACGGGTCAACATGACACAACATGTTCATTAAATGGGTTGGTCTGGGTTAGTGTTGAAGCTTCTCAAGTACCCCAACCCGTTTAATCTCAAACTAAAACACAACATGACATGTAAGACGCAATTGTCAGCTCTAATCTAAAAATGAAAATATATAAAGTAAAAGATAAAGATAATATTGTAATATAAATATGGAAACTATATGAATCAAAATTATTACAATTGTGCAAATTTTATAGTAAGTAGGTTATAGTATATATTGACAAAAAATGAAAAAAAAAAGATAAAGAGGATTTTTTGAAGGAAAAAAACAGCACCAGGAATTGACACGTGTTATTCCTGGTGTCTGTTTGAGTATTATATATTGATATTGATTGATTGATACGGAGTATTAGTTACGTAGAGTTTTTTCTAAGAGTTCTATTTTCTTTTTTAATATTGGATGTTTTATTTGTTTTTAGAATATTTTTGTTTAACGTTTGGTACTCCTCCGTGTTTTTTTTAAGTGTTACAGTTTGACCGGGTAGAGTTAATGTTTTATTGAAAAATAATTAATGTGAGAGGAAAGATATAATAAAAAAAGTAGTAGTGGGTTTGAGTGGGGACCATGAAGGGAGAGAGATATAATATTTTAATGTAGTTTTTTGCCAAAAAAAAAGAAGTATAACATTTATTAAAACACGGTCGTATTCGAAATGTGTAACACTTATTAAAACACGGATGGAGTATGAAAAAATAAACAAATTTAGAAATTTTATTTGATCAAAACGTGCATCGCACAAGATTAATCTAGTTATCTACCATTTATATTGTAATCCCCCATATTTTTAATATATTTATTTATTATTTATACAAATATTTTTATTTCGATTTTATAAGTATGAACTATTTTGATGTAAAAGTAATAAGATTTTCATTATTATTAAACTAAACTATTAAGTTTTTGGTTGAAAACAAAATCCCCTTTTAAGTTTAGTAGCCCAATACTTAAATTTTACTCAAGCCCAAACAACAATCCTACTTACAAATTTTTACCTACACACTACCTGCACACCCCCCACCCACACACACCCTCCGCGCATGCCCCGCCCCGCCCCTTTAAAAAATTAGAAAATTTTATTTGATCAAAACGTGCATCGCACAAGATTAATCTAGTTATCTACCATTTATATTCCCTTAAATTTTCCTTCTGTAATGTACTTTGAATGTAAATATTTCTATTTTTAAGTACGTACTTTGTATATAAATAATCTATAACTATAACTAAAGTAGAAACCGCTGACGTCATTTTTCCTCAAACCGGGACACGTGGCAACTTATTATAAAAAGTTTTCCCGCCCAAAACTGTCTTGCATGCTATGAAAATATTATATAATAAAAAAAAAATTATTATCACTTGATACAGATTATTAATAATAAACTACTTTTCCTAAAATTGAGGGGTACGTGATGTTCTCTATCTTGATACACATTAATTATCATTATTATTTTTATACGTCAAAAAAAAAAAAAAAAAAAAAAAAAAAAAAAAAAACTTAATCTATAATAATAAGCTACTTTTCCTAAAATTGAGGTGTACATGATATTCTTTATCCTGAGCACAGGTACTAATCTTATCAGATTGAGTATAGTTATCAACATCATAATTTAAAATTTAAAACTTAAATCAATTAATTTTATCAACATCATAATTTAAAATTTAAATCAATTAATTTTTGCTATAAATAGATGGGCATCTTACGAAATCATAACTTATCCATTTTATGAAAATACGTATTACCTCTGTTTCGCAAACATAAGTATGCATCTCTTCTATTCTTTATTTTATTTTATTTTTTTTTATCATACACTTGATTTTTATTTGTGACGAGAAAGGTCAGACTGTTTGTACTACTACTACTGTAGTATACAAGGAGGTTTTCCAAAATTTGTGACAAGGTATTGCCGTTAACTATCTAATATTTTTGTAGAAGAAATTAAAAGATTTGTCATTTTTAACTACATATTTTGATGATTTCTACAGTAACGTGTTTGATATTATTTCTGATTTTTTGCTACAGACATTGCACACATTCCGTTAAGCAAGAAGGGGTTGTCGACCTTCCCAAAAGAAGGTAAATCAAGAGCTATAAGCTTATTATAGAACTAATTATTGAATTAGAATTAATAATACAACTATGCTCAATTGCTATAATCGTTTAGAATAAACAATGTCAAAAAAGTTGATACTAATATCATTAAAAAGTAATCCTTATCAAACCAAGACTATACTCTGAGGAAGATACATATATAAAACAAAGCAGATGTCTCATGATACTTATTAATTAGCTAATATCAAGATTTACTCTTATCAAACTCTAACACATGATCCAAAATTGCAATTACCAAATTTTTAGGAGTGAAAATAAAGTACACAGTACCTTATTTTCCAGAGCAAAATAGTATGTTAAATAATTTAAGTGGACTAAAAAATTATATGAATGTAAAAAACATGATTCTTACCTTTCAATTAAACTTTCTGCATGCAGGAATCGAATCGAGCTTCGACATTAATAAGGCTTAAGATCTCGGATCTGAATCTCCTGCGAGTATGATATGCTCATGTTCTACAATTTCTTGAAGAGGAAAAGATAAAATATCTGAAATTTCATTGTTCGTACAATGGACTGGATCTATCACTATATCTAATTTTGAATTAAGATTGTTTATTGTTCTACCATGATCATATCATTTGACTCAAGAAGGATAAACTTTTAGGAAGTTGGTTTTATTTTGTTTGGGGTCTTTTTTTTTTTTTTTTAAGTGTTTATTTTTTATTTTATTTGGTAGAAGATATGTCAGAACTCAGAATAATGGTAAATGGGTTTGCTTTTCCTAATTTACTTGGTGGGAGTTGCATCTTAATTCTTTTTCCTTTATTTTACGAGTTACATCTTAATTTTTTTCCCTTTATTTTACTTAGAGGTTGCATCTTAATTCTTTTAGTAATATTTTTATAGTAATTTATTAACCAACAATTTTTTTTTTTATTATTATTGATGTTTAGAGATATATAAGAACCGGTGATAAAAAAAAAAAACAATGTTATGATCCCTTAAATCGAAAATGAAGTTTTAATCACGCCTCACTCTCACAAATTAATTTAATTATGTTAGATATAAAATGTTTAATCGTGCATCGCACGGGTACTAATCTAGTATGATATGACAACAATCTCCAAGCCAATTAAAATTTATCAAATACTCCCTCCATCTTTAAATACTTGCTTCACTTTCTTTTTGCGGCCGTTTTTAAATACTTGCTTTATTTCCTTATTTGGAAAGCTTTTATAATATTTAATTCATTTTTCTCAACTAGTAGGACCCAATTTTATTACTTTTAGATTTTCTCTCCTCCAATTTACCTTCTAATAACCCCACTACCTCTATATTTTAATACTTTCTCCAATTTCTCCTAAAACTCCACGCATGGAGACATGGAGCAAGTATTAAAAAACGGAGGGAGTAAACAACAATTGCCTACAATTTGTTTGTACAAGACATATTTTTTTTTAAAAAAAATAGAACTAATATAAGGGCATCGCATGGACACTATCTAGTTTCAAATAAATTCAAATAAGTACAATTAGTTTAAATACTACGTATGTGTTATGAGCTCTTATAAGTTCAATGAGTTTGATTAGGTGTGCAAAAATAAGGTATAAGAACTTTTAATAATACTACGTACCAGGGCCGTCCCAAAAGTATACGGAGGCCTCGTGCGATTAAAAATAAGTAGGCCCCCCATTCAGTTTATAATTGTGTCACCTAAAAAAAAAAGAGTAAAACTCACGACAATTATCGAACCTCGAACCACTTGTACATATTCTCTTGCATCTGACCATTGAGCAACCTAGGCCCTATTGACTTTTGGGCCTTGTGTAGTTGCTCACCCTGCACACCATAAGAGTCGGGCCTGCTACGTACATAGTATAAGAAGTTTCAATCACATTCTAATAATGACTTGTTTTGTTCACTTTATTCTTGCTTATTTTAATCTAATTTGATTAGTATAATATGATTTTGGTTTGATCTGATTTGATTTTCTGATTTGATCAAATATTAAATTCAGGTGTAACATAAAAATAATAAAGTGTGATAGAAAATATTATTAAACATGACCTAAGTTTTTAATCAAATTTGATAACATTCAATTAGTTCCAATTAAGTTTGTAATGGTATAATAATTTAAGTTCAATTAAGATTGATCTTGTCTAAAGTACAAGGTTAAATTATTTAAGTCTAGATTATTTCCTATGGTTTTAGATCCTTTTTGTATTAGACAAAGTGGTTGCACATAGAATATAATAATAATAAATACGGTAAAAATAAGTTAATTTTAAGAAAATTTGCGATGAAGGTCCTTTTAAGTGGTCGACCTTGTGAGAAAGATCTTTTTCTTAAAAAAGGTGGCACAAAAGATCCATTTATTGGCAATGGGTTGTGGGGAGGGTCCTTTGACCAGCTCTGGCGTTGAGCAAATTTTTCTGGCAAAAAAATCACGTGACCACTTAAATGACCTTTTTTTTCCCTTCCTTTTTCCCTCAATATTCATTTTCACCCCATTATTAAACCATAATTTCAAGTAACAGGAAGACCGCAATTACACCTCTTCGACTCACGTTGAATGGCTTTGATTGGCGTTCAATTGTAATTTCAAGGATAAGAATTGAAGATTTGGGATTAATTTTGTTATGAAATTAGGGTTTAATAAATGGGGAAAGGGGGAAAATGAAAATCGAGGGAAAAGAGGGAAAGGGGAATAAAAGAAAAAAAAAATACGTCGGAGTTTGGTCAAAGGACCCTCCCCACAACCCAAATGTCGATAAAAGGACCTTTTGTGCCACCCTTTTCAAAAAATGACCTTCCTCACAAAGTTAACCAATTAAAAGGATCATCCTTGCAAATTTTCCTTAATTTTAATACTTTGTATTAATTTTCTTCACAAAGGTAAAACCACGATTTTGTCTTGTAATATTGTTTGTAGGGTAACTTCTAATTTGTAATGATTTTTTTCTTTATTATTTTAATGATAGACAGTTAATGGGTTTGATTGTATTTTAACATGGAATTTCAAATGGATACATATGAAGAGTAATATAAATTGATTTAATACTACGTACATTATAATTTTTTTTTTTTTTTTTTTTTTTGAAAAGGTAAGACGAAATATTATTAGAAAGTCTTTCTCAGAAAGGGAATTTATAAGTGTTAATAAAGGGTAAGATTTATATTTAGAAAATGATAACTTTTGTAGTATAAGATTTTTTTTTAAAAAGAATTGTAGTTTTACTAGTATAGAATAATATAAGAATAACTTTACACTTCGTATATTTCTAGGGTAATTTAATATAAATTATAATATTGACCCTTATCCCTAATCCTATTAGAAATATACTAAGAGATCAGAGGATTAAGAAAGCTTTATTTTTTATTTTTTTTTTGTTTTTTTTATTTTATTATTTTGGTAAATAGGATTAAGAAAGTTTACATAGTTTTTTTTTTATTTTTTTTATTTTTTTTTATTTTGATTCTACTGACATTTGTCTGGAATTAATTAAAAGTTGAAATTGATTGAACTACAGGTTTGATTTGGATGGAAAGTGGTTTAGACTCTAAATTTTATGATGAAGAAGTTGACCTCACTGTTGCATCTTTGCTGTCCTGTTTTCCTGGTTTGGATTATCTTGATCGATTGAATGGCGATGAAGTTAGACTTAGTGATTTGTTTCGATCCAATAAGTATGTTCTTGTTTTTGGAGTGATGAGGCCTGTACATCTTATGGATAGCCTCCATGATGAGTTCTTTCCTCAGGACTTGGTGGCTTTATGTTCAGAATTGTACTACTTTCGAGACGATTTTGAGATGGTTGTGGCTTTAACGGGCTTTGTCTCGGAAACATCTGCACCTTTGTACAACTACTTGCTTTGTGAGTTTCATCACTCCACTCTTGCTTTACCGTTTCACCATCACAGCAATAGTGAATCTCTATGTGATTATCTTGGTATTCGTGATTGGGGTGATCATAGTTGTATTCTTATCAATGCCGATCAAAACGTTCTGTGTCGCGGTTCTGCTGATGCACAAAAGTATCTGCAGCATCTTATACCCAAACCCCCTCTAGATGTTGATACATTCTCTAACAGGCTAAAAAAATCAACATGGCCTGTTGTCAGTTCTGTTGCCAAAGGCCCTGTTATACTTGGAGCAACTTGGAGCAACTTGTCCTTTTGTCAATTCAATCAAAGTGTTGCCAGTATATTCTCAAGATATAATCAGCAAGGTTTCTGGAGCACAGGAATCAGGCCCTATTCAAATTGGTCACTCTTTTGATATTATGTCCTTGTTGTCGGGTTTGAGCTACCTTGATCGGAATAATCTGGGCAACAAGGTTGCAGTTCAGGAGGAAACCTTTGTCGGAAAATATATCATGCTTTGCTGTGTTCATGTGCCTATCTTTCTTGACTCCTCTGATGCAAGATGGATGCAGGAGCTAGTTAACATGTGTTTCGATCTGTATGCTACAAGAAACGATTTTGAGATGGTTGTGGCTGTAAAGATGAGTTCCATGGCAGATTATGAGGTAGTTTTTGATCACTTCTTGTCCTCTTTACCCTCTTGTCTTGTGATACCATACAAGGAATCAATGCATCGCGACTTCATATGCAAGTATCTTGACTTGGTTGATTCTTGGTATATTAAATGTCTTATTTTGGATGCCGATGTCAACAGAAAGGTTTTGGTTTATGGATTTCCTTACAGCTTTGTCCACCGTTGTGGAACTGATGCCTTTCCCTTTACTAAAGAGAAAATCTCGGAAGTAATTGACAAGGACAAAACTTCTACATTGAGTCTCGAAGGACTCTTGGGGTGCAATTCCTCTTATGTTCTTGAAGATTACAACAAGAAAAAGATTACCATCTCAGAACTTAACAAGAACGTTGTTGCATTCTACTTGTGCGTTGATGGAAGTTTTGCTTCAACTCTCCATGATATTCATCAACAATGTATAAAAACTCAGCTGCCGTTTGAGATTGTGATGGTCTACGTGCCTTTTATCACCCGCCTTGACCCTCAGGTTCACAAGAATAAAATTGATAGATTGTTAAAGAAGGGGATATCGATGTCATGGTGGCGCTTGCCCTTCAATATCAATGTTTGCCAAAAGTTTTGCCGACTTATGGGCTCTGATCGTGATGACTTTAAGGTCATGATAGTAGGACCTGATAATGAATATGTGGATAAGTATGCAGGGGAAATCCTGAAAGAATGCAATGTTGAGTGTTATCCGTTCACTAGGGAGGCCTTGCTCCAGAAGGAACTGAAGCAACTTGAAGAACTCACCTTGGAGTCGTTGTTAGTTACTGGGTCAACAAATTATGTTTATAAAGGCAACACGACGTTTCCTCTGTCTCGTCTCCAAGGAAAGAATGTCCTTGTTTATTATATGTCTGCTGAAGACCACGGTCCTGATTATTATCATTTAGTGTTAAAATGGTATCATGAGATTAAGGCAGATGTCGGTGATCTTGAAGTGGTGGTTGTTAGGTTAACTAATGTGCCTTTTGAAAATTATGATGATCTCGAAGTAGCTGAAACCATGGAGCC